ACCCACCCACCCACCCACCACGGAGAGTGACTGTGACTGACGTGTATCCCCCCCACGCAGCCTTGTCAACGTGGCTTTAAACATCAAGCTGGCGGGTAAACCGAACCCAGTGTAAATTATTTCTTGTCTTCCTGGTGGGGTGGGGTGGTTGGTTGGGTGGGTGGTGGGCGGGCGGGCTCCCCTCTTCTCTGTCCCCATGAATATTTCATGCTAGGTTGCATAAATATTAAATTCTAATAGCTGTGCACAGCGGTTATTATTTCTGTCTTATGACAAATATTCATAAAATATTCAGGATCCCTTTTTGGGAGCGTTTACGCACTTGATTGTGAAGTGGGGGGGTTTTTTTGGGAGGGGGGAGGGAAACACGCTAAACATATTGGGGTACTCTTGATGGACCGGTTCCCCTCGCCTCCCTTTTTCCGCCCAGCCCGCGCGCGGTGCCTCTGCTTCTCTCCATCCTCTTAATTAATACTCTGGAATATCAATATTTAATCGGATTTATTTGGCGTTTCCCCCAGCAGCGAACCCCTATTAAACTGGAAGGCTTCGATTTGACAGTCTTTAAATAGCGAGAATGTATTCTTGATTAGGACACAGGTTACTTCGGACACGCCTGTAAAATGGCAGATGATTGGTTCTTGTTTAGCCCTCTCTGTTTGGACCATCTCCTTTTTTTTTCTCCATCCCCCCCCCCAAAAAAAATGTATTATTCAAGGACGTAAATCTTGCCCTTATTGGGAAAGTTCCTGTCCCAATTGTTAGGGGTGCAGCATAGGGCTGCTTCTGTTTAGGAAGCACAGAGGAAATTAAATATCTTTTTTTTTGTTCCTTGCGTAAAACGAAGGGATTTGCTGCTTTCCCAAACAACTTTCAAAGAAATGCAACTCTGTTTATTTAAGCTACCTAAGAGGACACTTTGGCTCAGATGGGCTAGGAAAAGAGCATCTCACAGGTCCGTGGAGATTCTCAGTCACCCAGGTTGCCTCGAAGAGGCTTTTCCAAAAGGCAACCGGACTTTGTTTTCTCCTGGAAATCCTTTCGCTTCTCGGAAGCTTCTTGCCTGCAAAGTCGAGAAGTCAGAACTGAAGAAGCTTCTTGGATGAGAAGCGAAACTTCTTCTTCTTCTTCTTCAAGGAGAAAACACAGTCCAGTTGCCTTCTTGAAAAAGCACCTTTGGGACATGGATTGAGCCAAATGGGCTTCGAGCAATCTGGAACTGATTGACAACGGTCAGCCAGAAGACGGTTCCAGTGAAAGGAAAACTCTCAGAGACGAGTGGAAAAAAAATTATCTTAGGCAGGCTACGTTCACGCCGATAAAGATTTACCAGTTCCACATGTACAACGTGCTAAGCTCGACCGTGCTAGTCGTGATTAGCTGTTGGCTTGACCTGCTTGGATTGGTGATTTTAGGCTTCTGTAAACTGAGAAAAAAATGGATTAATTCAATCNCCTTCCTTCCTTCCTTCCTTCCTTCCTTCCTTCCTTCCTTCCTTCCTTCCTTCCTCAATTTCTATCTTTTTTCCAAAGTTCACTAATACAAAACCAAGAGGACTCCTGCAAGCTCTCCCTCTCGGCCTTCCCAGCCACGTGGGGTTTAGCCTCTCCAAAACCTGCCATGTGGGAGAAACCCCACCCCACCGTGCAAGTAAAGTGAGGAGGGGGCTAAACAGCCTCCAAAGGCTGTTTTCCCTGCTCCGTCAAGTGCCATCAGAACAAACTCCCAGGGGAATTTCCCCATGATGGAATAACAAACGAGAGCAAGGAGGGAGAGAGCCGTGAATAACAATGAGGAAAGGAGGCTGGAGGCCTTCTGGGAAGCTGGTGGACCTGGCCTGCCAGGCTGAAGAAGAGAATGAGCCCAGAAAGGGTGGCGAAGCCATGCCTCTGAAGGCCGTCTAGACCCCTCCAGGCTCTTCAAATATTTGCTCTCCACAAATGTGGGACAAGCAGGACACGGTTCCCTCCTTGTCTTGTGCTGGCAACGTTCCTACAGTGGAGAAGCTTCCGTGTTTTCTTGGAGTCAATAACAGGGGGGTGGTGGAAGAATTCAAAACCCAACTCTTTCTTCACTTGGGAAACTTCATCAGGGTGTATCTACGTGTCTAAGGAGGAGAAGGACGAGGAGTGACATGATAGCGGTCTTCCAATGCTTGAGGGGCTGCCACAGAGAAGAGGGGGTCAAATATTCTCCAAAGCACCCGTAGGCAGGACAAGAAGCAATGGGTGGAAACTCATCAAGGAGAGAAGCAACCTGGAACTAAGGAGAAACTTCCTGAGAACAATGGATCAGTGGAACAACCTGCCTCCAGAAGTTGTGGATGCCCCCAACACTGGAGGTTTTTAAGAAGAGACTGGACAACCGTTTACCTGAAATGGTGTAGGGTTTCCTGCCTGAACAGGGGGTTGGATTAGATGACCTCCAAGATCCCTTCCATTCCATTCCATTCCATTCCATTCCAATCCATTCCAATCCAATCCAATCCAATCCATATTCTATTCTATTCTATTCTATTCTATTCTATTCTATTCTATTCTATTCTATTCTATTCTATTCTATTCTAATTATTTCATTCTCGGTTCTATTCTATTCTGTTCTATTCTGTTCTATTCTATTCTATTCTATTCTATTCTGTTATTCTATTCTGTTCTATTCTATTCTATTCTATTCTATTCTATTCCATATTCTATTCTATTCTATTCTATTCTAATTATTTCATTCTCTGTTCTATTCTATTCTATTCTATTCTATTCTATTCTATTCTATTCTATTCTATTCTAATTATTTCATTCTCTGTTCTATTCTATTCTATTCTATTCTATTCTATTCTATTCTATTCTATTCTATTCTAATTATTTCATTCTCTGTTCTATTCTATTCTATTCTATTCTATTCTATTCTATTCTATTCTATTCTATTCTATTCTATTCTATTCTATTCTATTCCCCTCTAATCATCTTCATTGCTCTTCTCTGCACTCTTTCAAGAGTCTCAACGTCTCCTTTGGAGACAGAAGGAGTCCTTGTCTGTTTAGGCAGAAGTTGGGAACGCCGCTTTTCCCATTCTTCCCCTTTTTTTTCCCACCAACCCGCCTTGAATACTGACACCGCAGCGGATAATAAGACAGACACCCAAACATACACATATCGGAAGACAAAAAAGTGCATTTCTGACAAGCCGTGTCCAAGATGCATTTTGTTAGTGGCTTCGCCAAGAAAAGAGTGGAGTTTTTTTTTAAAGCTCTTTTTTTTTTTTGCTGGGGTTTTTTTTTTTGAGCTGTCTCCCCCACAAGCTTTCTCGAGATGCCTTCCCCCTTTTTGTGTGTGTTTTGTTTGGTTGATTTGGGAAATATAATGGGGAAAGAGTATCAATTATCGGGGCGATACAAAACAGCCGTCTGCCCCCCCCCCACGCGCTCCCTTCTTCCTTTCTCTGGGAGAATATTCATCTGGAGACACACGTCTTCGTCACAAGTTATTCATTCTGACAATTGTGTTTCCTCAGTGTTGTTGGGCAACGGAAACAAAGCTGAAACAAAATGTTTGGAGTGTAAAGGATAAAAGACGGTTGGAAACTGTATATTCTTCTCCTGTCTTCAGAAATCATTAGATTCCTCGGCTTTTTTTTTCTCTCTCTCTCTTTTTTTTTCCACGCCAGGCTGAGTTTCTGTTTTGTGTTTCTCATCTTCTTCTTTTTTTTTTTTTTTCTAAAAATAAATAATAATAAACAAATCCTGCAATGGGAATGGAAATTATTATCTGTAAACATGTGAAGAGCAAAGAGGGATGATTTTCATAACTTTAAGTTCTACAAAGGTGCTGGCGCGGGGAAGAAAAACTCCCCCTTTCATCTGATTCAATTCTCTCCAGCAGATGTAAAATGTTCCTTTTGGTGGAACGTCTCAAGCTTGCCAGCCTGAGAGGCAGCACACCAAAGCGGAAAAATAAAATGAAATGAAATAAAATAAAAATTACAGCATAAAAGCCAAGCAGAGGAACTGAAAGTGGGAAGAGGGCTCACAGAATGCCTCTTCCCGAAAGCCTTCCCCTCCCCTCTGCTCAATCTAAATCTAAATCAATTTAAACCTAAATTAATTCGTATAAATTGGGCGCGAGTTCAAAAACCGCCAGGGCGCTTTCTGCATCCTTACATCAACCCTGTACCTGGGGGAGGCGGGCAAAGCAGCCGGTGTGGCTGGATTGGCACGGCACCAACCATAAACTGCATTGCACGAGACACTCACCCTGCAATTAGGAGGTGAGGTGAAGCAGAAGGAGTCCTCAACTTAATGACCGCCGCGGAGACCAAGCCAGGCGGTTGTTAAGCGAAATCATGAGGCTGTTAAGTGAGTCGCGCCATATTTTGAAACCTTTTTGCCACGGTGGCTAAGCGAATCCCTGCAGAGACTGGACAACCATTTGTCTGAAACAATAATAGTAAAGTTGGAAGGGACCTTGGAGGTCATCTAGTCCAACCCCCTGCTCAGGCAGGAAACCCTGTACCATTTCGGACAAATGGCTGTCCAGTCTCTTCTTAAAAACTTCCAGTGTTGGAGCATTCACCGCTTCTGAAGGCAGGTTGTTAATAATAATAATAAAGTTGGAAGGGACCTTGGAGGTCATCTAGTCCAACCCCCTGCTCAGGCAGGAAGCCCTATACCATTTCAGACAAAGCGGCTGTCCAAAGGGTATAGGGTTTCCTGTCTGAGCAGGGGATTGGACTAGAAGACCTCCAAGGTCCAAGGTCCCTTCCAACTCTGTTGTTGTTATAGTTGTTAAGCCAATTGTGCGGTTTGTTAAGTGAGGAAAGTCACTCCAAAGGACTGGGCTGTCCTCAGAAAAAAAACATCGGCCAGCTCTCCCTACCGGAGTTGACCATTGAGATGGTTTTTTTTATCTCCATCCTTCTTCATTCCAGGATTTTTTTCCTGAACGTCCCAGCTGAAACCATTCTCGAGCGCCTTTCCTACTCCATGGTGGATCCGGTCAGCGGAGAAAGGTTAGCCGCACTACTCGATATTGCTCGAGGGGGGGGCGTGCTTTGTGCGGGGTGCGTGGAGGAGCCACGATTTGCCAAACGGGGTGTGGCGATATTTGGGTGGGAAGCCGAAGAGAGTTGAATTGTGGGGTCCTTGGGGCTTTCTGAGCTGGGTGGTTTTCTTGCAGACGTTTCTTCACCCAACTAGGTAACATCATCAGTGCTAGAAGGGTGTAGGGTTTGCCCTCTTTTTATATACTAGTGGCTTGCCCTGTCAGTGTTGATGGGAACGGTCTTGGATTGTTGTTTCCTCTTAGCTCACTTGTCTGAGTTGGTAGTTCCTTAATTGGGGTATTGTTTACTTCTTGATTGTCGGTCTAACGTTAACCTTGGCATCAGTCTCTGCTTTTTCTGGGTCTTGTTTGCTGGCAAGGAAGTGTTTTTGTTTCCTTTTGGGCTTTTTGGTTGTACTCTTTTGACTGGCGTGTAGACGTTGTTCACCTCTTTCGGCTCCAATCGGCCATTGACCAGCCGATTTGTTTTAAAGCGACCTATAAAACACGACAATGCAGGGAGTTTGCATCACGTCTTCCTTCCTTCTCCTGAGTTTTCTGCCCCTTTTCTAGATACCACACCTTGTACAAACCTGCCATCACCAAGGAAGTCAACGACCGCCTGCTGATCAATCCGAAGGAGATGGAAGAAACCATCAAGAGCAAAGTCGACCTGTATTTCAGGCTTTCGAGCAATCTGGAGCAATATTTCGAAGACGCCATTTTTATCAATGCCGACCAAGACCCGCAGACGGTGTTCGAGTACATTGAGAGTTTCGTGATCAACCCCTTGCCGGTCAAAGAGATCTGGGACCTGTAGTAGCTCAGCCTCCGTAGTCAGGAAGCTGAGAAACCAATTCCCAATCTTAAGAAGAGACAAGGGTGAAAAAAAATTGAGTCACTTGAAGTTTGCTAAATAAGGAAGTCCACGCGAAGCCCTAAAATGAGTTGGAAGTTCTTAAAAAGTTGACTAGTTCTAGCTTGAGTTTGCTTTGATTTCTCTTCCTGGGTGAAAAGACCCTTTTCACACAACCCTCACAAGAGCCTGCTTTTGGGGGAGGGAGGGTGACGCTTTGGAAGGACAGGATACGTGTCCCCTTCCCCAAATTATTGTTTATCCCTTTGTTCTTCCCAAGCGAAGTTTTAAAAAAAATATATTTGGATTGTTAAGCGGGCCAAAATTGGATGAGCCCAGCTTTCTTCCTTTGGCTCCTGTTGTGTTTGCTGAAAAATAAAATCTCATTTCTTCCCACCTTGATTACTTGGTTTGGTTTAAACCGTGCATTATTAAAAGCTTCTTGAATCACAGACAAGGACTTTCCACTCTTTTCAAGTTGATTTTTTTTTTCTGGCGCCAGCTTGGTGAATCTTAAGAAAGCGCGTTATGGACATGCCATTCTTGTTTGGTTTCACCGGTTATGTACGGTCTCCAGGTTTTAATTTAGCACTGTTGTGCTGTGCATATGTGGGTCTCTGCACTGTTCAACACACACTGCTGAATAGGATCCAGCCCTTGCCTCACCTCCGTGCGTTCCTCTTGCATAATTTTGACCCCCCCCCCTCCACTGTTCCTTTTAGATTTCCAACAGGGAGACCCAACAGCTCTCTGGCTGTTTAACAGGAGAGCTGCCTTGCTGCTACTACTACTACTACTACTACTACTACTACTACTACTACTACTACTACTACTACTACTACTGATGATGATGATGATGATGATGATGATATGATGATGATGATCCATAATAATAATAGTCATGATGATGATAATGATGTTGGAAGGTACCTTGGAGGTCATCTAGTCCAACCCCCTGCTCAGGCAGGAAACCCTACACCATTCTAGACAAATGGCTGTCCAGTCTCTTCTTAAAAACTTCCAGTGTTGGAGCATTCACCGTTTCTGGAGGCAGGTGGTTCCACTGGTTAATTGTTCTAACAGTCAGGAAATTTCTCCTTAATCCTAGGTTGCTTCTCTCTTTGGTTAGTTTCCATCTGTTGCTTCTTGTCCTGCCTTCAGGCACTTTGGAGAATAGCTTGACTCCCTCTTCTTTGTGGCCACCCCTGAGATACTTGAAGACTGCTATCATGTCACCCCTTGTCCTTCTCTTCATTAGACTAGACATACCCAATTCCTTATATGCTTTAGCCTCCAATCCCCTAATCATCTTTGTTGCTCTTCTCTGTACTCTTTCTAGAGTCTCAGCATCTTTTTTACATCGTGGTGACCAAAACTGGATGCAGTATTCCAAGTGTGGCCTTAGCAAGGCAGTGTAAAGTGGTATTAACACTTCACGTGATCTTGATTCTATCCCTCTGTTAATGCAGCCCAGCACTGTGTTGGCTTTTTTTGGCTGCCGCCGCACACTGCTTCCCCATATTGCGGTCATACATCAAGAACTGCCTGTAACGGTGTGTGAGAAGAACTTTGGGGAAGAGATGCTGCCTACGAGGGAATGGTCAGATAAGAGGACACGTAGCCCAAAGCTGCGTTAACGAGTGGAGGAAGAATCTCAGAAAGGAATCTCATGCCTCAGGCTGTAAAAGAGACAGCGGGAGCCCAGTCCTTTCAAGCCTGCAAGATTCTGCAATAGAATGAGAGTAAGAATCTAGCAGACTTAGCTTCACCTGGTTGCGCTGGGAAGGCCGACGCACGGACTCGGGAATCCTTAGGCAGACCTCTTCCTCTAGGCCCTGTGAACGACTAAGCCCCTTCCTAGCCACACCGCCAGCCCCCCCTGCCCCCCCCAAAGGGCCCTGCGGCTGAATCCTGAAGGGTTTGTAACCCTTCTCCTCTTTTTCCGCTGGCTGCAAGGCTGCTGACGTTGAGCGTCTGCTTTCTGCGCCAGCTGGTGGCAAAGATACACTGCGGTGCATAAATTGGACGGCTGGCTATTAATAATAAATAGAGGAACTACATCTTGCTTAATATCACCTGCATCAGAGTCCCGCTACTAAATATTGATAAGGAAAACGGCTCGGCCACGCATTTAAATACTGTTTGCTGTGCGCAAGGCCAGGGTACAAGGGACGACGGCGACGTGCCTTTAATTAGACAGGTACATCTGCTTAATTAATTTAGCCATAAAGCCTCATTCTTGTTGCCTTCCTTCCTTCCCTCCCTCCCCTTTCTTTCATCTATATGCGCCCGCTATTAGTTCTGCTTAGCTGACTGCACAGAAACCCAGCCAAACATCCCTGCCTCATTGAAATGCAGCCGGTGCTGCGTCCGCCCGCCCGCGGAGTTTCGGGTCAACGCTTGCCCCCCCCAAGGGTGTCCGCTGAGCCTGAAGTGTAGGCCGTCTGGGTTAGGAGACCATGCTAATACTCGTGTACGACGCTCCCTCGGAAAGCGCTAAAACAATTGACATTCATTTAATTACCAGGGAATGCTTGCAAGGCCTTTGCATAGTTAAGAGAGACCCCCCCCCTCTTCCCGGTTCACGTTAGCAAAGGGTTCAGCAAGCAAGAAAAAGGAATTAGGTTTTTATAATTGGACAACCACCTTTCCCAACCAATTTGGGACCCGCGATGGATTTGATTAGCATCTGATTGCGGTTTAAAAAAGCACTGGCCGAGGAGATCAGGAGATAAACAGGATGGAGCCACGGCGACGAGTGCTTTGATTTGGCCCCCTCGGCCTTTTTCTTCCGCAGTGGAATTTCCTAATTTTTGGAGAATCGGTACCCCCGATCCTGGAGGGAACAAGGCATCCAAGCCGGTCGCCCTGTGAGCCTTGGGGAGGAGGGTGGGCTTGAGTGAGACTCTCGGGGGGGGGGGTCTGCAATTACAGATAGTTTAATTGAGCCCCAATTTCTGTTGCTAAGCGAGACATTGGTCAAGAGAGTTTTTGCCCCCTTTTTATTAACATTCTTGCCACAGCTGTTAAATGAATCACTGCAGTTGTTAATCTGGCTTCCCCCGTTGATTTTGCTCGTCCGAACGTCGCAAAAGGGGATCACGTGACTCCGGGACACTGCGACCGTCATAAACACGGGTCGGTTCCCAAATTCTGATCACCTGACTGTGGGGATGTGGTGGCGATCATAAACGTGAGGACTGATGGTTACTTTTTCCAGTGTTTTTGGAATTTTAAACCGTCACTGAATGAACAGCTGTATTTTCAGTTTTCAGTTTATTCGTTTTTCTTCTCTGGAAAGTGTCCCAATTCCTCAACCTTTGCCATACCTGGGGCCACCGCCTACACCACAAACACACAAGACCTCCCGCCTTTTGTGGTGATCACATAACAGGGAAGTCAACACGGCTGCTCATTTTGTTAAGACACACACACCAGTAAAGTTGTGTGTTGCTTTATTTACAAACGGCTTTATGTCACAACAGTGGCTGCGGCAGTAGACAAAAACACATTTTTTCCAACTATTATTTCACACCCAACATTTATAGTCAAGTATCATTTTGGAGGGAAAAAGAGGAACGCCTAGGTTTTTTTCCCCGTTAACACTGCTTTGATTTGGGTGGGGTAGGAACACAACTTGTTCTCCACAACACAGTTTAATTCGCTGCTTTTGCTTTTCAAGCAACAGACAAAAAGCTTAACTAGAGTCAGGAACTATATGGAAGGTTTTTTTTTTAAAACTATTTTTTTAAAAGAACCCCAGATTGCTCAGATCAAAAGCTTGCCATAGGTCTGAGCTCCTGAGAATTTTTTAAACCAGGTGTGGGCTGTGTATTCCGACAACGCACAGCATGATTAACAAAGGACATTGTCGTCATCATCATTGCATCCAATGCTTTGCCAAGATAAGACACCCCATGAATATCCTGGAGAGGGAGAAGAATTTTGCCAGTCGGAACTGGAGGATAAAGGAAGATCCTTTTTACTCTTGCTAAGTGAAAAATTTGGAGAACCTACGAGGAGGAGAGGGGACAGTGCAAGAATTATTGACCGCAGCTGGGGAAATCAAAGTAAAAACACGCATGCTTAAAATATTAACAATCACAACCAAAATTGGCTCATTTAAAATAAGCTCCTTGTAGTTGGTTTCGGGGGGGGGGGGTCTTTAGCTGCCTGGAAGTTTTTCAAAGGAGGCTTCATACAGGTTTGCTAATCTTTCTTCACTGACCACAGGCATGCAAGGTTCCCCCCCCCCTGAAACAGTTCAAAAACCCGTTCGTTATTTGTAATAATTTAACTGTCTCCAGTTCAGTAAGTGCCACCGTTCAGTAGGTGTTAATGAAGGGAAGTTACAGAGTCCATGTTGCACTCAGGCCATCACAAAGTACCTACTCAGGTGGACCACCAGTTTTGCTCCGATGGTAGCATCTCTTTGTGGAACAAGACGGTCCTCCATCCCAGAACTTAGTGGTCAAAACCCACCGAAGGCCAGCGACCTTGAACCTGAAGGGAGTTCAGAAGCCTTTCAAAAACAGCGGCGGTGGGATTTCAGAAAAGACCTTTTCGTTTCCCGGAAAGGGGCTGAACTTCTCCGGTTCAAATCTACAAATCTACAGGTCGGAGCGAGCCCTCGTGCAGATCCAACGCCGGGGGGTGCTTTGGCCACTAGAGACTACTGCTTCAAGCTCACTGTCTCGAGTCGTTCTCTAGAAAACGGGCGAGTCGCAGAAAGTGCAAGGCCCCTGCAGCAACCTCTTGATCCATTCAGGATCTGAAAAGGAGAACAGATGTTATTGAAAGACGAAAAGAGAGGAAAAGAAAAAAGGCACTTGGGACGCACCAGGTGTGAAGAGCCAACTTTCCTTAAGGTTTCAGCAATGAGGTGCTTATAAACAAGAAAGTTAAGAATAACGAACTTTGGAAAAGCTATCCTTTTCTTCGAAACATACATCGGACCAAACAAAACCGGCACGCCGTTTGATTTTCTCGTGACCCGGTATAAAGAGAGGAAAAGATCTTATTTGCAGGCACAAACACCCACCCACTTTCTACAATTAGGTTTCAAACAGGATCCACCTTTATTTCCTTCCATTCCCAGATTGGGCAGCCTTTCCAAGCTCACCTTCTGAAGTGGAATGGCGAGCGATGCTGTCCCGGAGCAAGCATCTCCTGTAGACTAAACTCTGGCAGGCCTGATAGGTTAAAAAGCACCTGAAAGCAAGAGAATTATGAAAAAAAAAAAGGGGGGGGGCAATAATAACAGTTCAGTTCACACAACAAAGTTAACTCGGTCCCTTGTTCACCCTTTTCTAACCTGCGCCAATACACTGAATTGGACGCCAATCGAACGAAGGGGTTTGCTCCAGAAACTAAGCAAAAAACAATACAAAATCTAACCCACTTTGGGATGGGGTGAGAATGTGAGCCCTAAATTTTCAGGTGACTTGGTTTAAGGGGAGTGTAGAAACGTAATCCGAGGGCTAGTTTGGTCTTGATTGCCGCGTCTCTTGGCCGCAGCCGTGAAAAAAAAAAAAAAAAGGCCTGGGTTCATATCACATATCATAAACTACAAAAAAAACCCCACATAATATGAAGGGCGAACCCAGCCAAAGTTGGTTTATTCTAGAAATCTGAGTTTCGGCTGTTACATAAACCCAAATTTGATTTGCCATTGGGTGGTGCCTAAATGGAACAAATCAAATCTAGGTCCGACACATAGCTGTAGTCCTACTGGGAAAAGTCCATTGCAGTCATCACAGAATAACAACAGCTATCACAACGGATGCAGTTAAGGTTTATAAAAGGAAAGTTTCAATCACCCTATCTTAAAAAGTACTTTCTGATCTAACGACGATGGCATTTTGTCCAACGTGCAAATTAAAGCGGCGAAGAAGTTTCCTGGATGAGAAGCGAAACATTTTCAAAGAAACACCGCCCCCCCCCCCAAGAAAGTCCAGCTAGCTGAGCTTCTTCATTAGGCATTAAGGTGTTTTTTTTGGGGGGGGGGGGAGAAATAAATGTCCCAGGGAACATTTAACGTACCTCAGCCAAATGTGTCCATTGGAGCAAATGGCTTGTTTGGAGTCCGTGAAAGGCAGGATCTCTTTACACAAACTGCAGCGTTCGGGGAATGTCTGCTTATTCATCTTCTTCAAAATATGCCCGATCAGCACCTGGGAAAACACGGCAACGCTGCTTACAAGGAGAGACGGCGGCAGGAGCAGAGATTTGGGAAGAGCTGGGGGTGGAGACCCTCCCCCTCAAAATCTTGCTTAAAGTGGAATTAATTTAAGGTGATAAGAAAGGGAGGGGCGGGGAGGAAAACTCCCACAGGCGCAGACAGTCCTGTGGGAGAGCGACGGAAGCAACTGCGTAAAGCCATTTTACAGGGCGCGAACTCCACCAGCCGCTCAGGGTGTTTCCCCAGCCCAACGGTTCTGAGGTCCGGCTGCCCTCACCCGCGCGGTCCTGTCCTCGTAGCTTTTATCGGAGGTCAAGAAATCGCAAACGCCCCGGGTGGGAATGCTGGTGTTCTCCGTTATCCACGTGTGGAGGTAGACCTCGCCCAAGACTCGCTTCATGTGTTCTCGCGCCAGGTGCATTTCGACCGCTTCGATCTGAGCCTGGATGGCCAGCATCTTCTCTTTCGTCTGCTGCTCCTGGGCCTCACCGGGCGAGGGGGCTGGCTGAGAGCCCTTCTCTTTGGGGGCCTCCCTCGGATCCTGCCCGCCCTGTTCTGAAGGCTGTTCCTCGCCGCCGCCCGTCTCGGAGGAGTCCACGATTAAGGCCTTGGTGTCCTCGTGCGTGGGCCTCCACAAGGCCTCCGAGGGAGAGGCCTGCAGCGACTGGTGCAAAATCCGCAGGAGGAAGAGCTTAAAACGCCACAAGTAGGCGGAGCCCAAATGCTCGATCTTCTGATCCAGGGCTTCCTGCAGAAAGAGCGGGATCTGCTTCTCTCTCAAGATCTTCCAGCGCACCAGGTCGGTGAGGTCCACCTGCCGGTAAAGGCTCTGGGCGGACGATTCCAGCAGCTGCGCGGCGGCTTCCTCGCAGGTTTTCAGGGTGACAAACTGAACCTGATAGGCTTTGGTGGTGGGGTGGAGACCCTTGGCCATGCCCTTGGTGGTGATGACGGCCAGGTACGCGCCGCAGGGGCTGACGGCGATCCCGTGGCTGCGGACAGAGCCCAGCACGTCCGACAACTGGATCAGCTGGTGCTCGAACTTGAGCGCCAGGTTGGTGAAGATGGGAATCAGCTGCCGGACCTTCCCATCCACAGAGCAGGTGTAGACGGTGCCGTTCTGCTTATCGGCGGTCATGGAGACGATGGGCAGAGAGTGGAGCCCGGTCACGTGGGAGTTGTGGACGTTCAAGCCTGCTTTGGAGATCAAGAGGAGACACCAAAAGAGGTAGCAGCCTCTCGCCGCGACCACCAAACTGCAGCTACATTTCTGATAGGGGTGATAGAGAGGGATGCTCTTGATGTTCTGCACGGGCAAGTGATCCACTTCCTGCCACAAAACCACCGGCTGCCTCAAAGTGAAGTAACCCTTGACCGCTTTCAGGTTGACCGGGAGGATCTTAACCGGCCCGAAAGCGCTGCCCACAATGAGTCCGCTCATCTTCCTGTTGCTGTGCTCGTATTCCCACCAGGCCAAGACGCTGGGGGAAGAGATGCCCGACTCGATGGTGTTACAGGACGAGATGGATTCTTTGCCGATGAACGGAAGTTGGCACTGCCACACGGCAATGTTCCCGTTTTCAAAGATCACGGCCAAAAGGACGCTGCTGACATCCCGGCATTCGTTGTTGTTCTTCACCTGTTGGATGGTGCAAATGCCGGACCATTCCATGCGGACCGGGGTCTGCATGCTGTGTCTTCTCTGGAATTCAGCAAAGTCCCCCAAGTCTTCTCGGGAGGGCTCTGTCTTACAAAGCCTGTAGCTGTTTTCATACAGGCACTCCCCGTAGAGTTCGGTCAAGTCAACTAACTGCACCCACTGAAGCCTGTTCAGGTTAGCGTGGATGGTCAGCCTGTTGTCCATGGTCAGCGCGGCTAAGAGACACCGTCCGTTGGCGTCGCAGCCCAGCGGAGACCAGCTGCAGTATCTGAAGCCTCGCATGGAGGACAGCGATTTCCCTTCGGGATTGAAGACTCTGTCCAAGGTGAACGCCTGGCTCACGACTGGATCGTCGGAATTTGCAAACTTGTGCTTGCATTCAGCCACTTCCTTTTTGGAGCCAACCTGTGGGAGGGAGAGCAGGTTTTTACACTGTGTTCAAAACGATAACAGCTTTTTTCAGCACATGACTTGCTAGGTATTGACGGCAGTATATGATGAAGGAAACGACAGCCAAGTCTAAAGCACTAAAAACACTACGTCGAGATACTCATTTATTTATAACATGTGGTAGACATCTTATATGCATCCTAGATCAAACCAAGTCCAAAATCAACAGAGAATTCCTGGAAGCCTGGCAGGCAAATCATTAACAGGCACATAAAACATACCACTCAAAAGATACAATAAAAAAAAACCCCAAAAGGAAACAAAAAGTCTAAAACATTTCCTCACCAGCAATCAACACTCAGATGAACAGAAATAAACACCAAGATAAACCCTAGGCCAGCAATCAAGAAGTAAACAATACCCCCATCCAGGAACTGGTGAACGAGCTAACAGTTTAAATAACAGCCCGAACAACGAACCACCAGGGCTGCCTCCACCGACACCGACAAGGCAAGCCACTAGAATATAAAATGAGACCAAACCCCACTCTCTTCTATCACTGATGATGTAACCTAGTTGAGTCATGAAACGTCTGCAAGAAAACAGCCAAGCTCAGACAGCACCAAGGACCCCTCATTTCAACCCTGAGCCATAAATATTCTCTTTTATCACTACCTAACCCAGAGTAAGTGTGCTCACCCTCTTCATTCAGGTTGAAGCTTTCCTCGTTCCTAGACAGCCAAAGAACATAATCACGCTAGTTCAAAAGAGGCGTCAATCCTTTACCCTTGGATTTGGTGCTCCGGCTGCTATTTCCACAGCTGTGGGACCTTTGACTCCAACTCCCATAACCCCCCAACTGGCTAGGGAGTCAGGGAAGCCGGTGTTCAAGAGGAGGAGGAAAGAAAGAGGAAGTGCAAGAGGAGAAAAGAAAAAGGAAGAGAAGGAAGAAAGGAGGAGGAAAGAAAAGAGGCGGAGAGGAAGAGAGGAGGAAGAGGAAGAAAGAGGAAGAGGAAAGAAAAGGAAAAGAAGGAGAGGAGAAAGAGGAGGAGGAAGAGGAGGGGAGGGGGAAGAGGAGGAAGAGGAAGAAGAAGGAGGAGGAAAGAAAAGGAAAAGGAGAAAGAAAGGAGGAAGAGGAGGAAAGAAAAAGGAAGAGAAGGAGAAAGAGAAGGAGACGAGGAGGAGGAGGAAGAAAGGAGGAGAAGGAAAGGAGAAGCCCACCTAGGTCTTCCCTCGCCCCCCCTCCACCCAGTGGCGGGCAGTTCCCCGGGCCCACCTTGAGATGACAGGCGGCGTTGGGGGCCGGCACGGCCGTGCGATGGATGACGAGATCGCTGCCGCCGCGGATGTCGCTCAGCTGCTCGAGGACGGCCACGCTGCGGGCGGTGCTGACCGACACGCGGTGGTCCTCGGACCAGGCTAGCGGCTCCGAGCCGCTCACGCTATGCTGCAGCCGCACCGCCGGATCGCGCCGCACCGCCGTCACCCGGAACCCGGCGCGGCTGCTGGGGCCTGCCTTCCCTCCCGCCGCCGCCGCCTCGTCCTCTTTCCCCGGCCCTTCGGCCCCGTCGGGCGGCGACGGCGAAGGGGACGCGGCCGTCCCGTCCGCCGGGCTCTGCTCCGCCGCCGCCGCCATCTTTGCCGCCGGCTACCAGCGCGCGTGCACCGCACGCGACGCTTCGAGAAAGGACCCCCGGGAGGAGCGTGACTATCACACTGCCTGCATGAAAGCAACTCTCTGCTGTGTTTAACAGAATAGCAGAGTTGGGAGGGACCTTGGAGGTCTTCTAGTCCAAGCAGGGGACCCTGTACTACGGTGTTCCCGACAAATGGTTTCCTTTCCCTTTCCATTTTAATCAAAGGGGGTTGTTTTTGATTATTTTAGCGAGGCGATCCACTAAGACGCCTATACCAGGGGTCCTTTCCCAAGCGATATGGTAGCCGGCATGGCCTGGCTGCAAGTTTGCAATTGAGATATTATTATTATTATTGTTGTTATTATTATTTTTACTTTTTCCAGTGGCATTCCTGGTTTTGCTGCGGCCGCCCTCCCGTTAGGAGCCTCTTTGCAAACTTGGGAGTCGAACCTCCCCGTGCAGGAACTGTCTACCGGAGCTGGATTCGCCTAGCATGGCTTCAGACGAAGGGTTGCTCATTAATGTCAGCACGTTGCCTCTGCCCAGGCCCCGCCGCCCCCTTGCAGGACAGAGACCCCCCAACCCAAAATGGGGCCGTGGGAAAAAGGTAGGCTCATTGCCACTGGGGAGGGGGGGAAGAGAGGGACGTTGGCTTATAGAGAAGGGGTGCGTTGCAACTGGACCATTGGACAACTGGACAGCCATTTGTCTGAAATGGTATAGGCGGGTCTCCTGCTTGAGCAGGGGGCTGGACTAGAAGACCTCCAAGGTCCCTTCCGTCTCTGTTATTCTGTAATTGGAAAGTGGAACGACTTGACTCCAGAGGTGATGGGTGGTCCAACACTGGAGTTTTTAATACGAGATTGGGCAGCTGTTTGTCCAGAATGGTATATAGGGTCTTCTGCTTGAGCTGGGGGTTGGACTAGAAGACTTCCAAGGTCCCTTCCAGCTCTGTTCTGAATCTTTTGCTAACGGGCTTTCTTTTCTGCTCTAAGGCCTGGAAAAGAACATTAGAAGATGCACAGGAAGCCACTCCTGTAAAAAAGCAGCGCTCTTCTCCAGTGGCCCAGACCAAAAAGCCATGGAAAAAACCCCAAACTCACATCAAAGGAACTGGGCTACCAGTATCATCCCCGGAGAAGCTTTCGTCTGAAGCCAGAGCAGGCGACATTAACAAGAGACCTTTTGTAAAGACTTCCAGCCTTTTTAAAAACAATCCAGAAATCCCCCACATTCAGAGGTAACATAACTTTTATTCACTAAATAAAAGATCGATTCATTGTAAACTGTTATTATTTATCTGCTGCCGTGTTTCTGTAAACTGCCATTTTGGATTTTGCTTCTGAAACGGTATGTTGGTGTATCGTGGTTTGAAGTTCTGGGTTAATCTTTGACTTAAACAATTTTGCTTTATGCCGAATTTTGATTGGTTCCTGGGTTGATCTGCTCCTTACCTAGAACTGTGGTGAAACAAGTTCAAGAGGAGATTTTCACCTCAGATTCCTTTGACCAGCTGGATCTCCACCCTCACTTGGTAAGTTCTTTCACTAAGATGCGCAGCAGTGTTTCAACGAATCCTCCCTTTAATCCAGACTGTTTTTGGAAGAATTTTTGGGTCATTGTGCTAAACTAAATGGATTTGGGCCAAATAACTCTAGTCATAATACAACTCCAGCACTAACATATTTAATTTTTTTTCTATATTAGATTTCAACAATATCCTCATCCTTGAAAATATCGAGCATGACCAGGTAAAAGGATTTATGTTTTTTTATATTCTAACAAATTTTATTCTTGTGTGTTTTTGTATATACATACATACGCACACGGGGATCAAATAAAGCTATTATATCTACCCCGAGAGATAGATGCGTGCATAGCAGAATCAAAGCCATTTTACTTATCACGTTATGTAATGCATGTCTGTGTGTAACCACACAAAAAGTCAGAAAACTACACACCATGCCAGATAAAAGCCTTCACTGGCGATGATTCACAGTGATAAATGAAATAGGCTCTAAGGACAATCATACATAGCTTCACGGTGAAACAGTGGAGTGAAAGCTCCACCTTGCTTGTCTTCTAACTTTTTTTTTTTTAACTTGTTGATGGTCCCTTTTTATCTTTAAACCCATCCAGTGTTCAGAAGGAGGCCATTCCCACGTTGCTACAAGGAAAGGATGCTCTGATCAGATCACAGACGGGCTCAGGTGAGAATTTAGCTGTTCCTGTTTGGGAATGACTAACGATGCAGGGCAGAATAGGATGGAGATGGGGCGACCTGGTGGTTTGAGACACCCTGTAGGGTTTAAGGGGTCTCCACAGGTAAGTGGGATTGAGCCTGTTTGGTTTTTTTTTTTTGAGAGATAATGTGGAGGTGTTAAACATCTGCAAAATTCTGCTCACAATGGTTTTTTTTTGTTTTTTCTATCCCTTCCTTCCTTCCAATTTCCTTCTCCTTGTTATTCTCTTCAAGGAAAGACCCTTGCCTATAGCATCCCCCTCATACAATCCTTACAAAAACTGGAGTCCAAAATCAAGGTAAGCACAGACTTTTGATTGCAGAAAAGCTACTTTGCCCTACTAAAGAGGCCAAAATAAATATTTTTTTCTATTCTTGAAACGACATATTCTGTAGAGTCCTTGGTGCTCTCTCTGAGTTTGGTTATTTTCTTGCAGACATTTCATGACTCAACTAGGTAATATCAGGGCTAGCACTGGAGTAGCATTGATGATGCAGCCTTGTTGGGTATGAAACCTCTGCTAGAAAACAAACAGCCAAGCTCAGAGCTACTGTACATGAGCAGAGAGCAAACCCCACTAGCACTGATGATGTTGCCTAGTTGGGTCATGAAACGTCTGCAAGAAAACCAGCCAGCTCAGAGAGCACCAAGGACCCCACAGTTTGAACCCTGAAGCTACAAATATTCTACCAGTAGTTCATATTCTCTTTTGCCCCTCAATCTGACCTGTCTCCTTGTTCCTTCCTCTAGCGTAGTGACGGACCATATGCCCTTATCCTGGTTCCAACTAGGGAGGTGAGTTTATTTGCCCATCTTCCCAGTTTTAATTTTAATCCCGATCTGCAATGCCTTTGAATATTTCAGAGTTTTTTTGATAACGTGGAATCACTACTTATCAACCCCATTGATCAACCCCCCATTTCTCTTTCCTGCAAGTTCAGATCATTCCCATCATCCCCAGCTAGCTGACAAGCAGCAGGGGATGATGGGAATTACATTTGTCTCCAGAGCAAATCCTGTATGTTTTTTAACAACATTGGCGAAAGCTCGTATTTAGGGGTTAAATAGCTAAAGGCAGAGTAGGGCAGTGTGAATGGTGTAATAAATCCTACTTTTTCTTCCTTGTAGCTAGCTCTACAGAGTTTTGAAACCCTCCAGAAGCTCTTAAAGGTAAGCATGGATTGAAAAAGATGGAAGACATAATTGATGTTTGTTTATTGTCTCTGGCATCTCTCTGTTGATCCTTGCTTGCCTGGAAAGAGGACTTTATTTAAGAGATTTATTCCCCCCCCCCCAGATCACACTAAATGGGTCTGGAGGTTGAGGAAAGAATTTGTATCTAAAAATTAAAACACCTATTTAGGTAACATGGGTAATTTTGGGACGTAATGTTTGTGGGGCCTTTGTCTTCCCCTCTGTCGGACATCTTAAGTGCATTATGAGGTAAGCCGCCATTTTGAGCCAAGTTGGAATGTGGAAGTCGCCTGGCCTCACAAAATGGCAGCCCTACTGGATGTGGCCGCTTGCCAGGCATTTCTGTCAGGGAAAACAAAACCAACGGATGCTAAACAGGCTTATTTTCTCTCCCCCCTCTCACTATAAAGTTTCACTATCTCCATTTCCTGTCCTTTTTAGCCATTTACCTGGATTGTGCCAGGAGTCTTGATGGGGGGCGAAAAGAAGAAATCGGAAAAAGCCAGGTATGGGCTGTGGAAAACACCTCAAGGGGAAGGACATTCCCTAGTTTTTTGGAAAGTAAAACTTCCTTTCTCTCTCTCTTCCTTCCTTTCCTTAATCCCTCTCCCTTCTGAATCCTTTTCTCTCTTTTTTCCTTCCTTCCTTCCTTCCTTCCTTCCTTCCTTCCTTCCTTCCTTCCTTTCACTTTTATCTTTTTTCAATTCCTTCCTTTTTTAATTTTCCCTCCCTCCTTCCTTCCCCATTCTTATCTCCTTCCTTTCCTTCTTTCCTCCCTATCTCCATCCCTCCCTCCCTCTCCTTCCTTCCTCCCTTCATCCATTCTTCCTTCCTTCCTTCCTTCCTTTTTTATTTTTTTTCATTCCTTCTCTTTTAATCTTCCCTCCCTCCTTCCTTCCTTCCCATTCTTATCTCCTTCCTTTCCTTCTTTCCTCCCTCTCTCCCTCCCTTCCTCCCTCCCTCTCCTTCCTTCCTCCCTCCCTCCCTCCTTCCTTCTTTCCTTCCTTCCTTCCTTCCTTTCTCTTTTATTTTTTTCATTTTTTCTCTTTTAATCTTCCTTTCCTCCTTCCTTCCCATTCTTATCTCCTTCCCTCCCTCCCTCCCTCCCTCTCCTTCCTTCCTTCCCATTCTTACGTCCTCCCTCCTTTCAATAGATTGCGCAAAGGAATCAACATCCTCGTGGCAACTCCTGGACGGCTGGTGGATCACATCACATCTACCCAGTGCATCCACTTCCGCTGTATCCGGTGGCTGATTCTGGATGAGGCTGACAGGTAGGAACATCCTGGATATTTGATAGAAAGATCTGCTCAGGTGGCAGCAGTGGGATTTCCTCTCTGCAGTCATACCTGCGAGGACAGTCACTTTTTCCACTGCCGTCATAACTTTGAACAGTCACTAAACGAATGCTTGTAAGTTAAGGACTACTTGTACCTTGGGTGTGCTTGTAGGTGGGTATTCACCTACTCTACCTGTCTGTCTATATCGATAAAAGGAAATAAGTGATAAATTTACTAAGCTTTAGAGTACTAAACCCTGAAAGTTCAGAGGCTTACTTATTCATTTCAGGATTTTCATCTTTTTTTTTTTAATTGAAAAAAAAAATAAGTAAAAGAAAAGTGGCACGGGTGAATCGAGACTTTAAAAATATTTTTTTCTTCTTCTTCCAAAATTGTACATCGTACTTAATAAATGTAGTGGGTGTAAGATGCTTCTCTGACTGATTTTCCATTTCTGTCCTTTCCCCCCTCCCCAGAATTTTGGATCTGGGCTTTGAAAAGGCCGTGGCCGCGATATTAAACGCGGTCAATGCAGCCAGCCCGAAACGGCAAAACATTCTTTTATCAGCCACACTTTCCGAAGGTGAGTCTAATCCTAACTGAATAACAGAGTTGGGAGGGACATCAGAGGTCTTCTAGTCCAGCCCTCTGTCTAAGGAGGGACTAGAACTCACCCTCTCCTGGTGTCTAGTCTGATGCCTTTATCCACTAATAGCCTTAACCAGTTTGGGGTTAACTGTAGTCAAAATCTGTATTAGCTCTGGGACTTGATAACTAAAAATGTTGGAGCTGATCCCAGTCCAGCTGGTGAGAAGGTAATTTTGCCAATTGCATTCCGAGGATTTTCTTTCTTTCAGTGGCTTAAAAACTCCCAGATTTGCAGAAAGGGGCTCTTGAAAATATTTTGGATTACGCTGTTCGTTTTTTCTCTGCTGCTTTCCAAGAAAATCACCAACAGAGGGAGTTTTTCGGATCTAGGAAATCACAAAATACAGCTTGCAGGGCTCAAATATTTGAAGCGAGGGCAGTGGGAAGGGGAAGCAGGGCTTGGCTGTCAACGGTGATAATAACGATAGCGATGATTTTTATGAGGGTCCCGGACCAGCATTACAAATAAGTAGCATTACAAAAAAATTAAAGAATGAGATAATACGCAGGTAGCCCTAGGGCCACAATTAAGCCTAACATTTCCGTCGCTCAGTGAGACAGCTGTTAAATCAGTTTTGCCCCATTTTATGACCTGGGCTGTGTCGTACGTCGAGGACTATCTGTATTTTTTTTCTCCTTCTTTGATCAAAGTAGTCAACTTGCCGTCTCTGTCACCTATTTCTTGTTCATCCACCCACCGATTCTCCACAGGGGTCTCGAGGTTAGCTCATATTAGCTTGCAAGACCCGGCCTGCATTTCGGTGGCGTCAGAAGCCCTGGCTTCAAATGCGTCGCGGGAAAAAGACCGCCTTCTGGACGTTGTGGCCGTTCTTCCTGCGCAGGAGCAGCGAGGCAGTTTTGCCGTGCCCGAAAAACTCCGCCAGAACGTGGTGATGGTCCCAGGCAAGCTAAGACTAGTGACGTTGGCGGCTTTCCTGTTTGGGAAATTCAAGGTAAGAAGTTCGTAGTAGTTCTAAGAAAAGCCCAGATGCTTAAGAGAGGTGGATTCTATATACTCTCTGTCAAGAGTCACAAAAACAACTGGGATGGAAATGTTTTATTCGTTTCTTTGTTTATTGAATTTGGGTGTACGAGCTCCGCTCTTCAAAGCAAGACGTGTTTTAAGTCCCAAAATGTCCAGATAGCATTCGGAAGCAGACCGACACGTTCCTAATTCACTGAGCGAGTAGTTCTCAATTTACAACCGTTCATTTACTGGCTGTTTGAAGTTACAACAGTACAGAAAGCAGGGGCGTACGACTGGTCATAAGCCCTTGCTTATGGCTACGTAGAGATTCTGGGCTGATGCCTCTTTTGACTCCGCCCTCCCTACCCTGACTCTCTTTGGAGTCCCAAAATATCGTCAACGTTGAACTCGGATTTTGTTCTCTTCCGCAGTTCGAAAAACGCCACAAGGTGATTGTTTTCTTCTCGAGCTGCGAGCAGGTGGAGTTTCACTACGTCCTCTTCCAAAAAGTGTTATGTGAGGAATCCGGGGGTGAAGCATCAGGGTTAGCACCAGCCCCTCCTTCTCCGTTGACCTTCGCACGTTTGCACGGTGACATGAAACAAGAGGTGAGTTCAGATCCTTCCTATAAACTCCCCCCCCACCCCCTTTATTTTAACCTCTAGTGAGGAAGCTTCCTTACTGCAACATAAGCCAAAAATACATCCCTGCGTGTGAAATTTACAATCTAAACAAGTAAAATTCAATTAAAAACAGCAGCCAAAAAGTATTTGTATTTGTGCATAAAGTCTTCTGTTCGTCAGTCGTTGGAAACCAGCAAGGCCCCCCCCCTAAAAAAAAAACAGCTGAAAATTAAAATGGTTGGTAACCTTGGCAATCCTTTTTTTTTTTTTAAATCTTCTTAAGGAATTAGTTTTACTTGCCTGATCTGGCAGCACGTTTTATGTTTTTTTTTCTCCTTTTCTTTTAGGAGAGATCGTCCGTGTTCCAGGCTTTTCTGCAGTCAAAGACCGGGGTGTTACTCTGCACGGTGAGTTGCCAAATAATACTGTATTCGGTGCCTGACATATCTCGGAAGAAAAGTAGCCAATTAATTTGGACGATGCCAGATCCAAACTTAAGAAAGGAGCATGATCGTGATTAACCTGGGTTAGGATTGTGGACTTTGGAGCAAAACTCTGTTGTGTGTTTTTTTAAACAGTATTCTGTCTCTGTCTATCTGTCTATCATCCATCCATCCATGTATGTATCCATGTCTTCTAGTGCTCTATCTCTCCATCCATCATCCATTCTTCTATCTGTCTGTCTATATCTGTCTATCTACTTACCTACCTACCTCTCTCTCTATTTACCTACCTACCTACCTCTGTCTATCTGTCTACTTACTACCTACCTCTGTTTATCTACCTACCTCTGTCTACTTACCTACCCACCTACCTCTCTCTGTCTATCTACCTACCTACCTCTGTCTGTCTGTCTACTTACCTACCTACCTCTCTGTCTATTTACTTGTCTACCTCTGCCTGTCTACTTACCTACCTACCTACCTCTGTCTATTACCTACCTACCTCTCTGTCTTTCTGTTTGTGTGTCTATCTACCTACCTACCTCTGTCTGTCTATTTACTTACCTACCAGTCTGTCTATCTACCTACCTGCCTGCGTCTATCTACCTATCTCTCTATTTACCTACCTACCTACCTGCCTGCCTGTCTAGTTAGCTACCTGCCTGTCTGCCCTATCATCTTCCAAGTTTAGCTTTGGCTTTTCTAAGGAGCCGCCTGCCGCCCTTCAGTGCTGGACGTCCCCTTTGAAGGAGCATCTGTTCCCTCCCTTTGCCCATTGACTCCATCACGCTAACGCGTCTTGCCAGTTTTCTGGCGGGCACAGGCAGCCATTTCCCCCCTCCCACTCTTCCTGACAGCTTGGGGGCTGCTGCCCTACCCTTCCCTTCCGCCGATGACGCAGCCCAATCTGTTGCCCGGCTGGCGGGGGCATCCTCCCCGCTGACGGCTTTCCACGCTCGGCCTTAATGACTCTTGGCAGGCAGGGGGAGAGACGCGGGGGGGGGGCCTCCCACGTCCGGTTCGGACCCCTCTCCCCGCCCCCACTCCTCCCATTTTGCTAAGGTGCTCTTTGGGGCAAAGAAATGAATCATCGGAGTCCGACTGACAACCTGGCACCGGCATGTAGGACCTTCCATCTGGACCTGGAAGCTTCACGTCGGCGGCCAGGCCACGATGCCCAGGCTGGTTTAGAAGATGCAGCCCCTTTTGTTTTGCCCCAAGATTTTGTGACCTGCCTAGCATGGCTGGCTGGCTCTAATTTGAGAGCCTTTTTTAAAAGTAATTAATTTATTTAAATTATCTTCCTAAACATAATTGCCAAGGCCGTCCTGTCACCTTGCCTAAAACCACTCTAATGGCGTGAATTCTATCCAAGAGCGTATTTATATTAGGGCTCAGCCAATCAAGTGCTCTCATTCCCAGGCTAGACTGGAAGAGGAGGCGTTTATACTCCATTTTGACCAATCGGGAGACTGTCTCACCATGGAGTCACCCAATCGGATTGCTGTCCTCTTCCATTCTCCTAAAAGGTGGCGATGGCCGTCATCCTGCGTTTGGGTACCTGTTAAGCGCCTCGGACTACAATTCCAGTCTCTCCCTACGCACGGGTCGATGGGAGTTGTAATCCCACTCTTAGAAGAGGCATCTCCTTTGGTCCTCTGCAGTGCGGGCCTCCGTGTTTTAATTTGTTTATTCGTTTATATATCAAATTAGTTTTCTTATTTAGCAACTGCCAAGCATGGGAAAAGCGGCAATAATGGAATTGTTCTTCCTGGTGGGCGAGTAGAAAGAAATCTCAGTCCTAACTTGCTATAAATATCAGAATATATTTATTTTTTTTGGTCTGGAGAGAGCCAATTTGGTGTAGAGGTTAAGGCATCAGGATAGAAAGTGGGGGACTGAATTCTAGTCCTGCCTTAGGTATGAAAGCCGGCTGGGTGACTTTGGGTAATCACCAGGAGACGGGGAGTTCTAGTCCTGCCTTAGCTCTGAAAGCCAGCTGGGTGACTTTGTGCCAATCACCAGGAGACGGTGAGTTCTAGTCCTGCCTTAGTCGTGAAAGCCAACTGGGTGATTTTGCACCAATCACCAGGAGACTGGGAGTTCTAGTCCTGCCTTACACATGAAAGCTGACTGGGTGACTTTGGGCCAATCCCCAGGAGAATTGGGAGTTCTAGTTCCACCTTAGGAATGGAAGTTGACTGGGTGACTTTGGGCCAATCCCCAGGAGAATTGGGAGTTCTAGTCCCGCCTTAGGCATGAAAACCAACTCGGTGACTTTGGACTAGTTCCTCTCCCTCAGCTCATCCTACCTCACAGGATTGTTGTGGGGGAAAACAAGCCAGAGAAGCATTAGGTCTGTTTCTCACCTTGAATTATTTATTAAAAAATAATAATAAAAAGACTGGATGCAAATAAATAAATAAATAAATAAAACCTGCAGAGCGGAGCCTCCCCAAGTTTTCAGATCCCAGCCTAACTCTTTATCAAAAGTGAGTTTTGCCCCATTTTATAACGTTTCTCGCTACGGTTGTCTCTGGCCGAAATGCAGCGGGAGGGGGGCGCAGCCCTCGGCGCACGAGCCTGGGAGCAGGCGGGGTCAGGAGGCAGCTGGCCTTGATTGCACCAGCCAGGTTGGAAAAAAATCACAAAACACAAAACCCAGAGTGGTGGAAAGACTGTAATGAGCACTGATATATTTGCATACTCATTACGCCTTTGCATGGGGTTCTGCCTTGATCTGCTTAAACTAATAACCCTTTTTGGCAGGGTGCGGGTTTCATCAAGTGGACGGGCAGGCAGGCGGTGCCAGGCGCTGCTGGCTGGAGTAAAGCCTCTCTCTCTCCCCCCCACCCACCCAGTCCGCTCCTTGAATTGGAACCCGGCATCTTGGCATAATGGCAGCTAATAAGCTGAAGAGCCTGGTCAAACCCAATCTCCCCCCCCACCCCCCAGTTTTGGCAGAGCAGAAGGGAACTAGAGGAAAGAGTGGGGATAATGAAGTGGATGAGGACTTTTGGAGTGGGAGGGAGAGAGGGAAGGAAGGAAAAAAAGGAAATAGGGAGGATGGGAGGGAAGGAAGGAGAGGGAGGGAAGAAGGAGGGAAGGAGAGAAAAGGATTCGGAAGGGAGAGGGAGGGAGGGAGGAAGGAAAGGAGGGAAGAGAGAGAGAGAAAGGAAGATTTACTTTCCAAAAAAACTAGGGAGTGTTCCTTTCCCTCGACATGCTTTCCACAAAGGGGAGGAAGGAATGAAAAAAGAAAAAAGTGAAAGGGAGGGAGGGAGGGAGAAGGAAAGGGAGGGAGGGAAGAAGGAAGGAAGTGAGAAGGGAAGGGAGGAGAGGAAGGGAAGGGAGGGTTGAGAGAAGGAAAGGAAGGAAAACGGGGAGGGAGGGAAGGAAAGGAAGGAAGGAAGGAAAGGGAGGGAGGGAGGGAAGGAAGGAAGAAAGGAAAGAAAAGAAAGAAAGAAAGGAAACCAACTTTTTTTTCTCCAACCCAATTCTTCCCAAGTTTTCTTCAACAAGATTTATTGAGACAAAAGGGCAAAAGTTGCAAGAATCCTAGCCACAGAATTTGTCCTTATTTAGGACAAATACATCATGAAGTACGTCCGCGAAGAGAAAGACTTTCTGATTTTCTTTCTTCCCACAAACTGGCAGATCTTTTCACCAATATCAAAGGATTTGGGGGGAGTTGTTGTTGTTTTTTTTTAAACCCAGTGGCCTTTAGAATCATAAAAAACAAAGACATTATTAGGGCAATAACGGAGACCTTTCTGATTTTTTTTTGTTTTAATAGGATGTTGCTGCTCGCGGTTTAGATCTGCCTCAAGTCACCTGGATTGTGCAGGTAAGTGGTCTTGTTTTGTCACTTTTTTCCCCATGTGATCGTAACCGAACGGTCACGAAACGAACGGTTGCAATTTGAGGATGCCCCGTATTTTCATGTGTCACAAAAAAAAAATAATAATAAAAAATCCCACTAGGCCTTAACAGCTTCTAATCCCCAATTTCTTCCTATTTCCTTTATTTTTCTTCCCCCCTCCTTAAAAAAAAAAAAGGGGTGCCGCCAGGGCTGTTTAGGGGGGGTTTATTTTTGAAAATGATCTCGGAGGCTCTAATTAATCACTCGTGCAATCTGCTAATTCATTCTCCGCTTAGCTCACGTTGTCATTTTTCTCTCCTCCCCCCCCCGCCCTCCCCCCAATTCCTGGGAAGTATAATCCACCAGCTTCGCTCGCGGAATACGTCCACCGAGTCGGGAGGACAGCCCGAATTGGCAGCCCTGGAAACAGCCTGCTCATCCTTTTACCTTCAGAGGCCGAATATGTCAGCTTTCTGGCTTCGTACAAGATTAAGTGAGTCACACAAATCTTCTCCGTTCCCCCCCCCTTTCCCCCCACCGGGTGTCAAAATCCGTGGCCAACTTTAGCTATAACAGCTGCAGCCCCGCATCTTGTTTGAGAGAGAGAGAGAATAGAGAAAGAAAGAAAGAGAGAGAGAGAGAGAAAGAAAGAGAGAGAGAGAAAGGATGAACGGTTAGAGTAAAACTAAAGTTAGATGAAAACTTCAGCGTGATTTTTTTTTTAAAAAAAATGTTCTAGGTTTCGTCCTGAGTGATGTACAAGCAGAAACAACCTGGAATATTAGAGAGCAATGAGAGAATAATAATAATAATAATAATAATAATAATAATAATAATAATAATAATAATAATAATTATTATTATTATTATTATTATTATTATTATTATTATTATTATTATTATTATTATTATTATTATTATTATTATTATTATTATTTAAAAAAAGGAGAAGTGGAACGATGATGTTACTTGATTGCAGAAGAAATTAGGTTAATATTTGGGGGGGGCAGACTTTATTTGATTTTTTTAAAAAAAAAATCACACCTTTATTATTGTTTATAAATAACTCAAGGGGTCTAACACGCCGAATGTTCCTTCCTTCCTCCTGTTTTCTCCGCAATGATGCTGCAAGGTGAATTGGGCTGAGAAAGAGGGACTGACCCAAAGTCACCCAGGTAGCCTTCATGTTTGAGAGACGACTATAACTCACCATCACCTGGTGATTGACCCAAAATCACCCAGTTAGCTTTCATGCCTAAGGCAGGACTAGAAGTCACCGTCTCCTGGCGATTAGCTCAAAAGTCATCCGCCCAGCTTTTATACCTAAGGCAGGACTAGAACTCACCGTCTCCTGGTGATTGACCCCAAAGTCACCTAGCTGGCTTTCATGCCTAAGGCAGGACTAGAACTCACCATCTCCTGGTGATTGGCCCCAAAGTCACCCAGCTGGCTTTCAACACTGGCAGAGCAAGCCACTGTATATAAACAGGGAGCAAACTCTGCTCCCTTCTTAAACTGATGACATTACCTAGTTGGGTAATGAAACGTCTGCAAGAAAACCCCCCAGCTCAGAGAGCACCAAGGACCCCCACAGTTCAACCCTGAGGCTACAAATATTCTACTCATGCCTAAATATTTGCCCCTGAATAAAAGGCCTTCTCCTTGAAACACCCTGCTCTAATTTTTGTTTTTGCTCTCCTGAAGCTTTGCCACCAAAGGAATTCGCCGGCTGTTTCATCGCAGTTCCTAAGAGCTGTGAAACTCCGCTTCACAAACCTTTTTTTTTGCTTTCAGGACAAAGATTTTTTTTTCTTCTCTTCTTTTTTTTCCCTCTTTTTTCGAGAGGCGTGCGAGCCATCTGCAAAATTAGCTTATATATCTGTGGGCATGTACACAGGCAGTCAGGGACCGCGAATATATGGATATAACGGATTGCAGATCAGATCTGGAGAGACAGATTCACGCCTGGGGCACGGCGTGGCGTCAGATCTAATTGCCCTTTCTGTTCGTAAATGGAGCCGTGTGGAAATTTATCCTGACAAATTCAGTGTGGCAAACGAGGCAGAAAGAACGCCATGTGCTGGCCGGTCGTGGCGCACCGGTGGGTGTGCAGAGAGCGAAGCCGGTCGGTCTGGGGTTTTTTTGGTTTTTGGTTTTCTTTAAAAAAAAAAATCATTGATCACTTTCTTTGTTCCCTGTCTCTTTAATGGGCCAAGTGGAACTAACAAGTGGGAATAAGCAGAGATATTCATGGCAATTTGGAACACTTTTCAAGAGCGGGTCATTTTTTTTCTCTCCCTCCCTCCCTCTCTCTCTCTCTCTCTTTTTTGATGTGTTACTTTGTCGTTTTGGGAGTTCCGGGCAGTTGAGCATGACGAAAACACAATCCCCGGGCTGTGGCTGTTTTGTCTTTGTAGGCCGAAATTCTTCCCACCGTTTGCGTAAAGTATTGCTTTAAGTTCGACTTTTGGCACAGTCCAAAAAAAACCACTTCCCATAATAGCTTCTATGGGAAGGTTTGCCACCTCCAGAGGGACGACTCTAAAGGAGAGAGGCCAGGGGAGGGAAGAGGAAAAAAAGATGTTAGGAATCAGTTCTTGGTTCAGACTAAAGTTTTGAACCATAACTTGCTCCATACTGGATGAGACATCTTAATCATCTGCACAGATTCGCACTCAGAACCGACGTTATCCTTCTTGGCTTTGATCTAAGAAGTGAAGAAAACGGGTGATACTTGAAAACGTAAAAGGGAAAAAAAAACCACAACGTCTGCCTAGATTTTTAATCTGGAGAATTGTGACCGAAGGTTTCACTGTCATTTATTATTGTCTGTCTTTCTTTCTTTCTTTCTTTCTTTCTTTCTTTCTTTCTTTCTTTCTTTCTTTCTTTCTTTCTTTCTTTCTTTCTTCCTTTCCTTCCTTCCTTCCTTCCTTCCTTCCTTTCTTCCTTCCTTCCTTCCTTCCTTTCCTTCCTTCCTTCCTTCCCTTCCTTCCTTCCCTTCCTTCCTTCCTTCTTTCCTTCTTTTTTTCCTTCTTTCTTTCTTTCTTTCTTTCTTTCTTTCTTTCTTTCTTTCTTTCTTCTTTCCTTTCTTTTTTTCTCTTTCTTTCTCTCCCTTTCTTTCTTGCTTCTTTCTTTCTTTCTTTCTTTCTTTTCTATTTCCAGCATTGCAGAGATAAAAATGGAGCAGATTTTGTCTAACTTAATGAAAGATGACCGTTTCAAAGGAAACCAGGGGAGATACCAGGTCAGTTCCTTTCTCCTTTGATTTTATTCCAGTTTCCTCGTTCTTTTTTTTTTTAATTTGCAAGAGCAAAAGACTAGCTTGTGTGTTGCACCCAATTTTACCGCCTTTTTTTGCCCCAGTTGTTAAGCAAACTGTGTCCCAAGCCATCTGGGAAGGTGTGACAAATGGCAATCATAGGATCATAAGTGCATGCCAAGCGCCCAAATTTTGATTTTGTGACCATGTGGATGCTGCAATGGTTATAAGTGTGAGGATCAGTCATAAGTCACTTTTTCCAGTGCTGTTGTAACTTCAAACAGTTGCTAAGCAAAATAGTTGTCAGTCCAGGAAACGATATAGACTCTCCGGCTTCTGCAGGGACTAGTATGACCTCCAAGCCTGTTATTTTATGTTTCTTGTTCTAAGGACTCCCTGTAATTTCAGAGATTTGGTGAGGAAAGACTCTTTTGAAGTTACAGAATAACACAGTAGGAAGGGACCTTGGAGGTCTTCTAGTCCAACCCAAGCAGGAGACCTTATACCATTTCAGACAAGTGGCTGTCCAGTCTCGTCTTAAAAAAACTTTCAGTCATGGAGCGTTCGCAACTTCTGGAGGCAAGGAGTTCCACTGGTTAATTGTTCCCACTGTTAGGAAATTCCTCCTTCGTTCTAGGTTGTTCCTCTCCCTTGGTTAGTTTCCATTCCTTATTTCTTGTCCAGGTGCTTTGGAGGATAGGTTGACACACACACACACACACACCCTCTTCTTTGGGGAAGCCCGTCCAATATTGGAACACGAGAATACTTGGGCTGTCAAACCGGAATTGTTTTGTTCGCTTTGAAACCAACAAGCCAGGTTTGGGAGGGGGGGAATCATAAAATCTCCTTTTTTCCCCTCAATTTAACCTTGATCTCTCCAAAATAAAATCCCTAAAGACAGGAAGCCGGAAGCTGGAAGGAAGAGGGCCGAGAAGAGCATCCTTTAGACGTGCGGGAAACAAGGTGCAGGGGGAAAGGCCCCTGTTTGGAATTAGATGGTTCCTGGTGCTTTTAGTTTGTGGCCCCCAGCCCCAAATTTCTCTTCTTCCCTGCAGGCCGGGCTGTCACTTCCCTGCTCAGAGGCAGCCCCGGACCATCGCCTTAGGCGATGCGAGGGGAGCCAGGGAAAAGCAGAAGAGAGATCTTAAGAGGCTGGAGATCCTTCATTAGAGGGACCCCCAGGTGTGAAGCCAAAAATGGTTGTAAAAGGGTTTTCTCATCTTTGCCCCCCTCCCATAACTCGGATAGGAAGGCATGCAGGGCGAGTGGAAATGAAATGGTGTGGTCTTTCCCTGGTTTGAGCTTGGAAAGGATGATGTGGGAGGCAGGAGGGAAGAGCTCTGATGGGTTGTTCAAGGCTTACAAACCTTCATTGAACTTATGAGGGAGATGATGGAGATGGAGATGGAGATGGAGATGGATCTCTGTCTTGGCATGGGAATGTTCCAGGGTGCTTCTTCGCTCTATTTGTTAGTGGAGAAGGGCACAAAAGATGGCACCTTGACCTAGTTGTCTTTTTATCCCCCTCCCTCCTTTCTTTCATTCCTTCCTTCCTTCCTTCCTCCCTCCCTTTTTGTTTCTTTCTCCCTTCTCTTACCCCCTTCTTTCTTTTTCTTTCTTTCTTTCTTTCTTTCTTTCTTTCTTTCTTTCTTTCTTTCTTTCTTTCTTTTTCTTTCCTTTTTTCTTTTTCTTTCTCTCTTTCTTTCTCTCGCCTTTCTTCTTCCTTCCTTTTTCTTCCTTTCTTTCTCCCTTCCCTTTCTCCCCTCCCTCTCTTTCTCTCTTCCTTCCTTCCTTCCGTTCTCCCTTCCCTTCCCCCCTCTCCCCCTCTGTCTCTTCCTTCCTTCCTTCCTTCCTTCCTTCCTTCCTTCCTTCCTTCCTTCCTTCCTTCCTTCCTTCCTTCCTTCCTTCCTTTTTCTTCCTTTCTTTCTCCCTTCCCTTCCCTTCCCTTCTCCCTTCCCTCTCTCTCTCTCTCTTTTCCTTCCTTCCTTCCTTTCTCCCTTCCCCCCCTCTTTCTTTCTTTCTTTCTTTCCTTCCTTCCTTCCTTCCTTCCTTCCTTCCTTCCTTTCTTTCTTTCTTTCTTTCTTTTTTTCTCCTTCTCTCCCTCTCTCTTTTTTTTTCCTGGAGAAAGGAAGAAGCAATACCTCATTTCGAAACCTAAAAGATAGGAGAGCTCGGGCCTAGGAGAAAGCGGATAGTGAGAAGTCCTTTGTAATATATTGCCATATTATTACTAAATCCCCAGACAGTCTCGGCATAGCTCAAGTCACCTGTCACTTAAATTTGAGGTCCCTTTAATTTTCTCCTGGAATTCGCGCTGGGCTGTCTTTAAATTAAGGCCTTTATTGGAAGCCTGAAATCTTTTCTTGCTTCCCTGGCGCTGGCGTCTATTCTGAGCTCGGTTACAGAAAAGTATACAATAACCATCAGTGGGATTTGGAGAGGTGTGAGGCTGTGTTTATTTAACACTCGGGGGGGATTTTTCGAGTTTATTTGGTCCTCACTGCCCGCTTTCAATAATGCTTTGACAACCGGTCTGCCCTTCTCATTAATTTTAAACAGTTAAAACACGGGGAAAAAGGAGGGGGCAGGAAGGGGGGAAAAAGTTTTTCATTATTAAAGTGCTTTACTTTTTAATAACAGAGGATTCTGGACGTCGGGGGAAAGGGCAGCTTCGCTTAATTTCACATTCATATTAAAAAAAAACCACACACACACACACCCGCACGCACACCGGGAAGGAAGGTGACACCGTGTGCAACCCAACAGGTCTTTTTTAAAAAAAAAGAAGAAGAAAGCTGGATTGACGAATGCAGGAGCATCAGGAAGCAAGGAAAGAGGGGAAACGTCTTAGTATTTTGCCAAGACAGGTTTTAAAAACCAGTTTTTAAATATGATTTGTACATCGCTTTTCTTTAAAAAATGCAGAAAGGCGACGCAAATGGATATATTGATGGGACGTTTTACCTTCATGGCTTCTCCTGTGGTCCATTTTTATTCCCCCCCAAGGGAATCCAAGGGACATTTCTTTTTTTGTGGTGTCACAGCAACCTCACAAAATAGTCCAGATTTAAGGAAAAAAAAAAGAGAGAGAAAGAGAAAAATTGTTTAGTTTTGGCTTAACGTGGTATGGGAATCAGCTGCCGTAGTTTATCCATCGTGGTTTTGCTGTGTGCAAAGGTGTCTAAATGCGGCCTGTGGTCTTCTGGTCCACAAACCAGGATTCACACCAATTTGAGATATTGATTAGATTGGATTAGATGTTAGATAACCTTTATTGTCATTCTTTTTACTGTGGGCAGAACGGCACACATTTAAAAAGTGGGTTACCATCTGGATTTAGCTAGTTGTGGGTTTTTGCAACGCTCTTCCAAAAAGAATCCCTGCTCAGCACAAAGTACAGTAGTCCTAGACTTATGACGATTCATTTAGTGACGGTTCGAAGTTACAACAGCACTGAAAAAAAGTGGTTTATAATAGTATCCGTTTAATAATAAATATAATGGAACAGTGAAACAGATTTCTGCAGCTGCTGGAAAAAACAAGAGACATTTGGCATTATTCAGCAACAAAAAGCCTTAGGAAATCAAGAGGGTTTTAATTGTTACAGTTGCCAAAAGGAAAGAGGTATTATTTTAAAGCCAAATAAGTAACACAAGTAGTTCTTAACTGTTGCTATTTTAATAGCTTTGGTTTTAAGTGCTTTGGATAAATATTCACGAATTGGATACTTCTTTTGCTACTGTGCTAATCAGGTGGCAGAGTTTTCTCCCTTACTTAGTAAGGGACAAGAAACTTCCAATTCTTGTTGTGTAAAAACCATACAAAGAACGGTTAGGTATACCAAGCTTAATGAAGAGAAGGACTAGGGACGACATGATGGCAGTCTTCCAATATCTGAGGGGCTGCCACAAAGAAGAGGGAGTCAAGCTGTTCTCCAAAGCAGGAGAAGAAGCAACAGATGGAAACTAAGCAAGGAGAGAAGCAAACTAGAACTAAGGAGAAATTTCCTGACAGTGAGAACAATTAATCAGTGGAAAGGCCAGACATTGTGGCCTTTCTATCACTGGAAGTTTTCAAGAAGAGATTGGAACAGCCATTTGTCCAGAATGGTTTAGGGTCTCCTGCCTTGAGGAGGGGGCTGCACTAGAAGACCTCCAAGGTTCCTTCCATCTCACTTTTTTCTTTTCCCATTTCTGAGTTGCCAAAGCAACACATATGTTGAAATCTCTTCTGTTGACCCTCTAGAGCTTAAATTTTTTCCTCTTCTTTCCTGTTTAGAAGAGCCAGCAGGGAGAGTTACAGGAAATACACCGAAGAGCCACCGTGATGCAGACCGAATTTGAGGATTTTGTCCACTCCGGCGCCAAAACCCTCCGAGGGGGCAAAAAAGGTCAGGAGTTTGCTTCCCTAACTTTACGAGCGCTGGCGTTTCCGAGTTCGAGGGAAGAGAAGAGGAGGTTTTGTGGCTTAACGAGGCAGAGTAGGAAGTGGCGTTTGAAGCCGAACGGAAGCGTTGGGTCTTTCTGCCCACCAGCGTTGCTGGCGCGAGACGCTGGCACCGGGAGTGGCAGGAGAGAGGCTTCTCCGCCACCAGGCCCATATTGGCATCTGCAGTTCCGACCATTTGAGGCTTCCATAAACACAGATGGAATGGGCTTTCCCGTGCCAGTCTTTGAGGACCTCCACGGCTGCCAAGAAGCAAGGAGAGCGGCCCCACGTTTTCCGACGAACGCTTGTCTAGTTCGTATCTTTCTTCCCCCTCCTGGTTTTTTTTGTTTTTTTTTTTGCAAAGCTGCCCCCTCCCTCCCTCTCTTCCCTCCCCCTCTCTCACTTGGTGCCCCTCTCTTTGGATCCGTGTCCTATCCATGCCCCCTCTCCAACTGGCATCCACCAGCCGCCCTTCTCCAGCCCGGCCGAGAACGGTGAATAATTGACACAGCAGCTGGGGTCTGGGTGGATGGCAAAAAAAACCCCAAAAGGAAACAGCGCCAAAGAGTCAGCCTGCCGGCGTCTCCTCGGCTGTCCTTTCTCAATCCCCCACCTTGGTGGTCTTGACCTGGTCAGTGTGGATGGTGGATGGTGGATTGGGCCCTCCTTGGCAGACTTTTTATCTGGGGCTGGTGAGGTTTTGAGGTGGAGGGGGAAGGGGAGGGGAGGGGAGGGGAGAGAAGGAAAGAAAGAATGAGAGGGGGAAAGATGGGAAGGAAGGAAGGAAAGAAGGAGGGAGGGAGGGAAGGAAAGGAAGGAAGGAAGGAAGGAAGGAAGGAAGGAAGGAAGGAAGGAAGGAAGGGGAAAGAGAAAAGATGGATAGAAGATTCGAAGGAAGGAAGGAAGGAAGGAAGGAAGGAAGGAAGGAAGGAAGGAAAAAGAACAAGATTCTGACAAAAGAAGGAAGGAGAAAGAAAGAAAAGATAGAAAAAAGATTCGGAAGGAAGGGAGAGAGAGAGACAGACAGAAAGAAAGAAAAGATGGATAGAAGATTCGAAGGAAGGAAGGAAGAAAGAACAAGATTCTGATGAAAGAAGGAAGGAGAAAGAAAGAAAGAAAAGATAGAAAAAAGATTCAGAAGGAAGAGAGAGAGAGAGAGAGACAGAAAGAAAGAAAGAAAAGATGGATAGAAGATCCTAAGAAGAAAAAAGAGAACAAGATTCTGACAAAAGAAGGAAGGAGAAAGGAAGAAAAGATAGAAAAAAGATTCGGAAGGAAGGGAGAGAGAGAGAAAGAAAAGACGGATAGAAAATGACGGTGACAGAGGAAGGAAGCCTTTTTCTCCTAATCAGTGTGGACCAAACTTACCTCTAGTGCTCTTTCAGTGGAAGCAACGGCTGCTTTCAAAACCCAGTCCTAAAATCCACTCCTATTGCAAAACCTCCTTTCCCCTTTCATCAGTGTGGACTAGAAACTTGCCTTGGCAGCTGCTTCAGAGGCTTCGAGACAGGCACATGGGCCAGAGACGTCATTTCACTCCAAATACCTGAGTGGGCATCTTGGGAGTCTTGCTTCCTGCCCTCCCCTCCCCCCCCCCCCCCCCAAAAAAAAGGAGGCTAGGAAATGAGAGGAGGGGGCTGCCGCCCTTGGCTATTCCCTCATTGATTGGGAAATGGCGTTCGCTTTGCTTGGCAAACAGAGCTTTCCGAGATCCCCCAAGATCTTCCGGAGACTGAGCCTGCTAAAATGACATTTTTATTACTGTTCGTAAACCACAATCTCCTGCCACACAGAGATTTAGGCTTAAGCTCTGTGCAAATAAACCGGTGTTCTGACTCAGGAAGGAAGGGCAGGAAGAGGTGGGCGGGGGGTGTTGGGAAGCTGGGGAAGGGGCAGCTGTGGTCAGCCTCAAGGGCCGGAGAGGGCGTTGAGAGAGGAGCAACGTCCACCAGGGGGTCTTTTCTCCAAGAATTCAGGATTTTCAGACCGTTTGCAGCCCTGGGGATTATAGATAGATGGATGGATGGATGGATGGATGGATGGATGGATGGATGGATGGATGGATGGATGGATGGATAGATAGATAGATAGATAGATAGATAGATAGATAGATAGATAGATAGATAGATAGATAGATAGATAGAGGGAGGATGGATAGATGGGGGAGAGAGTTGATGGATGGATGGATTGTTAGATGGATAGATAGTGGATGGATAGATAGATAGATAGATAGATAGATAGATAGATAGATAGATAGATAGAGGGAGGGAGGGAGGGAGGATGGATAGATGGGGAGAGAGATGATGGATGGATGGATGGATAGATAGATAGATAGATAGATAGATAGATAGATAGATAGATAGATAGATAGATAGATAGATAGATAGATAGATGATGGATAGATGGGGAGAGATGATGGATGGTTGGATGGATGGATAGACAGACAGACAGACAGACAGACAGACAGACAGACAGACAGACAGACAGACAGACAGACAGACAGACAGACAGACAGTGGATGGATAGATAGATAGGGGGAGAGATGATGGATGGATAGATATATAGATGGATGGTTAGATGGATGGATGGATAGATATATAGATGGATGGTTGGATGGATGGATAGATAGATGATAGATAGATAGATAGATAGATAGATAGATAGATAGATAGATAGATAGATAGATAGATAGATGATGGATAGATGGGGAGAGA